CTGTAAAATTGTTATCATTGTAAACTTCAGAGTCCTTAATGGTGGGAAAGTATCATGCGAAACGCCTGGCCCGCCCTACAAACTGGCCTCGGGGTGCGACAGGGAGAAGATATCTAAAAGGAAAGGAATGGCAGAGGAGGAGGAAGAGGAGGAGGACGAGGAGGAGGTGGAGGAGGAGCGATCCCCAGACGCCTCCCTGCGACTGCGCTGGAGGCCCCGCTGCTCCGCAAGAGGCTCCCGCCGCGCCACCCCGGGGGAGGGGCGGAGAGGGCACCCTGGGAGGTGGGTCGCTGGCCGCCCCGGCTCGGCGGAGGCAAAAAATGGTGGACAGCCCAGGGGCGGGCACTGCACGTGTCCCTCCAGGGGCCTCGTCGAATGCATGGGCGATCGGCGCCCCGGAGTGCGTGTGCGCGCACGGGTACAGACTCTCGACGTCGGGGCTCTTCGCAGGGGCGAGAACGGGGACCACGAGAGTCCGGGGCCCCTACACGGGGCCCCGGATCTGGGCAGAATCGGCGCGTTCCCCCCCGAACGCCGACCGCGGCATCCTCACTTGGAGCAAACTCGTCCGACAGGCCCGTTGCCAGACGCCATGCAGCGCTCCCCTCTGGGCCGTCCGCCCCTGCTGCGGCCGCCGATCCGGTGGCGGCAGGGGGCGCCCTCCCGGCGAGCGCCCCGAGCGCCCCGAGCCGGGGCGGCTTCGGACCGGGCGGGGGCGGGAGAGCGGATCGGGCCAGATCTTGCATCGAACCGGGCCGCCGCGGCGGTGCCAAGGTCGAGTCGAGTCGGCCGCGTCAGGATGGCACAGCGGCGCCACGGTGCGCATCGGATCGGCGAGATACCGAAATCGAATCGGATCGAGCTGGCCCGAAGCGATGCCGAGTCGGATTGATGGGATCGGAATGGGCTCTGCCGTGGGCCGTGGGCCGCGTTTTCCCTCGCGCAGGGCGTGCGCGTTCGACGGGCGCGCGACGCCTTCGATCCGAAGCTATCGTCGTTGTCAATGCTTCGTCGTAGCCGTCGACATCCGACCCGACGTCCGACGTCCGACGTCGACTTCGTCGTCTTGGAGGTTGTTGGGCGTCTCTGGAGGCTCTCGTCGCGGCTGGGCGCGACTCGGCAAGCTGGCTAGGGTGGACCCCCAGAGGGGCCCGGGAACCGGTAGCAACCGGGCTCTGGCCAGGGGCGGGGTGAGGGGGGTCGACCTACCGAGCAGACAAAGGGGGCCTCTGGGAAGCCATCCCATGAGGAGCCTTCTTAGTAGGCTCGGCGGTCTCGGCCCCTTCCCTGGCGGGCAGACTCTCACAGCCAGGTTGGGCGGGCGGGCCGTAACGGGCGGGTCGGGCGGGCTGTGCACTGAAACGAAAGTCGCAACTTGCCATGAATCGGGCGAGAGCGCGGCTCCTGCGCGTCGAAAGCCCAGCGCCTTCTCACATCGTGAGGAAGTCCTGAGCGATAGTGCGTTTCCTGCGCACCTTGCAGGAAGGCGCGGGCGGCAGCGCGATTTTTGATGAATTGCGCGGAAGTATCAGGCGGGAGCCGTTGAACTCTCATTCCTGCAAAGTCATGACTGTTGATCCCCTCCTCCGTGCCCATAGTGTCTTGCAATCGACATCCTCTTCCTGTGGCTCGCCTGCGTGTCAATCTAGGCCCCTGGCCTCCAAATTAGAATAACAATAACAACCATTTTGAGACTGTTCGCTCTTGTCTGCTCGCGTGCCCTTCAACACGTATCCGAAACCCTATACCCGCCCGCTTCGTCTTCGATCGTGCCCCCCTCAGGGTATATCTTCCCTACCTGCCGTGTGTATGTAGTTGTCGCAGCCGCAAAGCAGAGACAAGGGGGAGGAAGGAAGAGACAAGGGAGCACGAGAGAGATTTGCAGGTGGAGAGCTCGGAGCAGGAATGCACGCGGCAGAACAATACGGGCGGGTCGGGCGAGCGGGCCCTAACGGAACGGGCAGGTCGGGCGGGCGGGCCCAGACGGCTAGGTCGAGCGGACTGGTCGCTGTAGCGTCAGTCCAACCTGAATCGCTGGGCTGAGGTGGTCTAGAGCGCTTTCTTTTCCAACCCCCTTCCTCCACTTCGGGGAAGGGCTTACTCCTCCCCCCACTCCCTCCGCTGGACTTGGACGGGACCGGTCGCGGCGCGTTGGGGCATCCAAGATGGCCCAAGATGGCTCCAAAAGGGCCTCAGAGAGTGCAAGATGGCCTCCAAGTTGGCTCCAGATGGCGCTTCCAATATGCTCCAAGAGGCCCTAAGACCGCCTCAACACGGCTCCAAGTGACCAAAGAGCTCCCCAAGGAGGATCAGGGGATCTGCGCTGCACACACAGCGGCATCGTGACGAAGAGGAGAAGCACACGGCCGCATAAGGGCTCACCGTGTGGGTCGAAGGGTAGAAAGCCTGCTGAGGCGGCCCGCCTTGGGCCAGCCCATTGGCTGCAGTCAAGCACGAAGCCGCAGGGCGACGGTTTCGTACTTGAGCCCAAACGGCTACCATGCCTCTTCCGTTTCCTCCTCCCCCTCCTCCCCTCCTTCTCCTTCTCTTTCTCCTCCTCCTCTTCCTCCTCCTCCTCCTCAACATTGTACTCCCATGACCACCACCACCATCTTCAACCTCATCATCATCACCACCACTATCATTACGATCATCATCACAATCAGCATGAGCATCATCATCGTCATCATCATAATCAGCATCATAAACCTTATTATCATCATCATCATCATCACCATCATCATCATCGTCTTCATCATAATCATTATCATCATCGTCGTCAGCAGCAGCATCGTCATCAGCATCATCATCACAATCAACATCCTCATCATCACCATCGTAATCAACATCATCACTATCACCGCCGCCATCACTGTCAAACACATCACCGTCACCGTCACCATCGCCATTACCACCATCACCATCACCATCACCGTCAACATCTCACTCACCATCTCATCACCACAGTCACCGCCATCATGATCACCGTCGTCATCATTTTCATCATCAGCATCATCATCACCGTCGTCGTCATCGCCATCGTCATCGTCATGGTCATCGTCAGAATCATCCTCATCACCATCACCATTATCATCACCATCATCATCGTCATCATCAGCATCATCATTTACATCAGCATCGTCATCGTCATCGTCAGCATCACCATCATCATCATCATCATCATCATCATCAGCAGCAGCATCATCAATCATCACCATCACCATCACCATCACCATCACCATCACAATCATCATCACCACCACCAACACCATCATCATTACCATCACTATCACCGTCGACATCACCATCCTCATCTTCATCTTCATCAGCATCATCACCATCATCACCATCAATCATCATGACCATCACCATCATCCCAACCACCAGCACCATCATCATTACCATCACCATCACCATCGCCATCACCATCCTCATCATCATCACCATCACACTCAGCATCAGCATCAACATCAGCATCATCATCATCACCACCATCATCATCATCATCATCATCATCATCATCATCATCATCATCATCATCATCATCATCATAATCATCATCATCATCATTCGTCTTCGGGGATGTCGTGGGGAGGGGCAGAAAGGCCCTGCGGTGGGATCTGCTGGTGTCCGCCCACCATGGGGGTGGCGGCCCCACCCCCCTAACATGGGAAGGAAGGTAGTGCTATAAGACGAGGAGGGCGGAAAGAAGGAGGGGAAGGGAAAGAACTTGGAGGTATATGGTCTGGGGGCGCCTCAGTCATGTCAGTAGGTCCAGTTCCCTGATGTCACCACCCTCGCGAGCACGTTCGACGCGAGCACCCATCATCGTTGTCAGGGCAATATCTTGGCAAAGCGAGGGCGTGCACCCGGGGTTTCCCAGTGACGGCTGGCTTACTTAAATTGCTACGCCCTGCCCATCGTGTGACAGTACGGCTTAGACCCAAATGCCCACTGGGGTAATGTCTTGACAGGGCGCTGAACCTGGGGCCCCTATCAAGCTCAAGCCAAACCGTGGGGGCGATGATGACGCCGGGCGAGAGGAGGGCAGGGCGGCCGAGAGAGCGGGAGAGGGGGGAGAACAAGCTAGGTGAGCTCGCGCGTCATCTGGCACTCTATCAAAAACTCCCCATCCCTTCCCATGGCGCTGATGTTTCTCTATCCGCGGACGCGTGTCGTAGCCGACCTGCGACTCCCACTGAAGACCACTTCGTCTTATGCGCAGTCGGACAACGGGGAGTTGCGTGCACAAGAGGAGGAGGACAAGAGGAGGAGGAGGAGGAGGAGGAGGAGGAGGAGGAGGTGGTGGCGGGTGAGCGGGAATATGAGCGGGAGAAAAACGGATGAGGACGAACAGAAGCAGCAGAAACAAAAGCGGAATATCGGGAGGAAAAGGAGGACTAGGGGAAGGCGGAGGAGAGGAAATGAGGGGGGCGACAACGATGAAAAAATGCTTGGATTCAGAAGTGTGGCCCGGGCTGGGGTGAGACGAACAGCAGCAGCAGGAACCGGAAAGGAAGGGGCTGGGCGAACAAGAGGACCAGGGGAAGGAGGAGGGGAAGTGAGGGGGGGACTACAATGAAGCAAGACTCGGATCCAGAAAAGTAGCCCTTGCTAGGGCGAGAGCGCCATTCTTAACGACGGGAGCACAGCGCCGATCCGAAAATGAGGCCCACGCTGCAGCGGTAACACTATTTTGAAACACCGACAACGATCGGATTGCGCAAAAAACACGGCACCGAGGTCCGGAGATCTTCCAGACAACTTCAGGGGAGGAGAAGAACTGGTACTCATATTGCTCAGTTGGGGAAAGGAAGGGCAGAGGAGAGGCGATGGGCCAGGGCTGGCGGGGGAAGTCGGGGAAGACTCGGGGGCTCGATGCCGGGCGACTGAGCCTCCGCGGGAAACGCACAGCGCACCACGCGTGGCATGGGGCACGGTGGCGGAACGCCGGGCGAGGCGGCCACAGCGCGGGGCCCGAGGCCGAGCCGCCGGCTGGCCTCTGTCCCCGACCTTGCAGATGTTCAGGGGGTCGAAGTACCCCACCGGCAGCAGCGCTCCTCGCGGGAGGGGGAAAGGAGAAACGGGGAGGGAGAGGGCGAGGAGGGAAGGGAGGGGGGAGGGAGGGAGGGAGGGGAGAAGGGAACAGGAGGATAGCGGCGAGGAAGGGAGTGCGGAAAGGGATGAAGGGGGGAAGGGGAGCAGGCGAGGGGGGAGGGAGAGGGCGAGGGGGGAGGAGTGAGGCTAGGAGAAAACAAGCATCAGCAGCAGCAGCAGATAAAAAACTCGCAGCCAACATCTCGCATTTTGCAACCTGCAACTATCAGCTATGCCCTTGTTCTTCGGCCGCCTGTGGCAACAGGAGAGGTGTCAGATGTTTTTCCGTTCGTCCCAAATTGGTACCAACCGTGTACATTGGGCTCCGACTCAACGTAATATTCCGAGCATGGGGCCAGGGCTCGAATACTACCTGCCAAAACCTAGGCGTCACAATCTGCAAACCTTTTACACAGGTCGGACTTCCGAGAAGGTTTATCATGCGGCGCTCGCATTCCCATCCTTGTTCATTGCATCATATGCGGATTTCGTGTCTACGACGTGGATACGCTGCTTTTTTGACCACCATTCAAAGAACAGAGCAGTCTCGCCAGAGAACCTGAGTATTTTCTTTTTTGGAGTACCTGAGTAAATGAAGCGGAACACTGCGGAACGTCCGCTTCGTTGAACAACGCATCCTGGTATAGGATCTGGAGGTGCTCGACTTCAGCCACTGCCGCGGCAAGTGCCAGGGCCCCCCTGCCAGAGTAGAGGGCGCCCTTCTACGCAATTAGCTTCGAGCTGCGCCAGCCGAGCAGGGACGTCGTCTCCGAATAATCATGACGTGCAACTCGGTCAGCGGCGAGAGCCATGCACGCGCCCCTGCTAGAATCTCGTGGACCCCAGCGATCCAGGAGGCTTTCGGACGACCCAACCCCTCCAGCGTTTGAAAAAACAACGAAAGGAAATGGATCCGCGCGACAAATCGTCAGGCGTCGGGAGGCAGCGCTTACATATGGGCATCGGTCACGCCCCCGGTATAGACAGCAAAATGCCGGCTAGGAAGCTAGCCGGCTCAACCGCTTCCGAAAGAGCCTCGCGGCCCACCCGCTCAATTTTTTACCCCGGCGAGCGGGGCGCCTTGCGTGCTGGCGACGCGAAAGAAATGTTTCCACGCGAGCGCCCAATGCCCCGGCGCGAACACCCTGGCCCCCGGGAACCTCAGCTCTGGACGCCCCTAATCTGGCCCCGGCCGATGACCTCGAGAACGAGGCGTCGCGCCGCCGCCCTCGCTTCTCCCGCCCAGGCGAACTCGGCCCCGGCGGCGCTCCGCTCGGGGGATTTTCGCCGAACGCCAACTGCGAAGGGGAGTGTCCTACTCTGTGCCCCCATTCTGCCTGGGGGAGTCGGCGTCGCAAACATGGTGACACGCCCCCCGCTGTCCCATGCCCGCGACGAATCTGGCTCCGCACTCAGCCCCTCCATCTGCGATCAGGAAATGTGGAGCTCCGAAGGGGCACAACCGCGACAGGCCGAACTCCGATCGCATCGTCGCCGACTGAGCGTTGGCCAAACGAGACGCAACTTGCAGGTTCGACCCGTGGTCCACGACATTCATAAAGGGAGGGGCGACGCCCTGGAAATCGAGATAACATACATCGACGCCTACGGCGCGATTGAAGCGAAATGCACGCGGCAACGACACTCGTCGAAACAAGCCAGCCCTCGACCTCGCGGCGCACTCCGGGCACCTGCAATTCGTTCGAGTTCATTTGCCCAGCCTCACCTTCGCACCCCACCTTTCCAAACCAACTGAACTTTCAGTCATCTGGGTGACCCATGTTTACTTGCGTGGTATATAGTTTGCACTGCAACATCTTCTCACCTCCCGAAAGCTCAGGGTCCTCGACTTCTGGGCCCCGTCTCCCTTTCGTCCTCGCTCTCCCTCGTGCTCTCTGGGGGGGCGGTCGCGCTCGACGCCCGTCTCCGGGCAGCCCCCCCCGTCGCGCAAGTGGGCCGGGCGAAGGGCCCCCCTGGCCGACGCGCCGCCCCATTGGCTGCGACCGCGCGAGCCGCCAGCTTCGCGAACTTGGGGGGGCGCTGAGCCGCCTTAGCACTCGTCCCTCTAGAACAGCGCTCCGACGGCCCCCGGCGCGCAGCTGGCGGTCTAGGGCCCCGACGAGAGCGGGGTGGTTCGCGGGGGCTCCAGTCGGCTCCTTGTTCGGCCCCCGCTGATTCACCCGGGGGCCGAACTGGCGCGCGTCGACGCGGGCCCGAGGGACCCCGAGAGGAGATCCTAGGTGGGCCAGGAGACGCGGTCCCCAGGATGACGCGTAGAGTGGGCGTTCGAAAGCAGAGGATCCCCCGCGGCCCACGCGCTACTGATCAACCCAGGCGCGGCCCCGCAGGGAACTCTACCGAATGCCCCAGCGGCAGGGTTCGCGCGGCGGCCTCGGGCCATGTCGGCGCACCCCTCGCGAGGATCGTGGCCCCGCAGGGAGCTCCGCCGAAGGCCCCAATGGCAGGGTTCGCATGGCGGCCCCGGGCAGTTTCGGCCCACCCCTTCACGAAGATCGTGGCCCCATAGGAGCTCGACCAAAGGCGCCGTCAGCAAGGTTCGCATGGCGGCCTCGGGCCATTTCGGCACGCCCCTCACGAGGATCGTGGCCCCGCCCGCTGGAGCTCCACCGAAGGCGCCAGTGGCGAGGTTCGCAAGGCGGCCCCCGGCAATTCCGGCACACCCCCTCACGAAGTGGCCCCATAGTTGCGCCGCTTCAACAACCGCGCCTGGGCGTCGTGATCTGCCTTGTCGATGTGCAACACTACCTCCTCCCTCGTGGCTCTAAGAGCCCCCTCCTGCTTCTTTTCCACGGTCAGAGGGGCGCCATCCTGGTCGTCGTCGGCGCCCGCGAAGACGGTCGCGAACGCGCCCCTGAACATGTCGGGTTCCGGCGGGAAGCCGCGGCCACGATGGGAGCGCGGGCGAAGATGGCATTCGCAAGCGCGGCATTCACAGCTGCATCTGGTCGGGTCCTTCGCCAAGCATTTTTTCTTTTGGTCCCTCGTTTCTTCCAAATACCCCATCGACAAATGAGGTCCCTTTGTAATCCGCCACAGAAAGATTCTTTTGAAATCAGCCACAAAAAGAAATCAGCTTGAAATCCGCTGCACAAGAAATCCTGATGCAATCCGCCACCAAAAGAAACCCTGTTGTAGTCGCCAGAAGAAGCCCTCTTGGAATCCGAGATTTGAATTAAAAATCGCACCCGACGAATCCGTGTGCAATCCGCTACAGAAGGATACATTTTGCAACGGGGTACACAAACAATCAACATGTAAGCCGCTACAGAAAGACTCAACTTGAAATCTGCCACCAAAGAAATTTTTTTGTAATCCGCCACAACAGAAATCCCCGTGTAACCCACCACACAAAATATTAAACTTGTAATCCGCCACAACAAGACCCCTTTGTACCCCACAACAAAAAACACAATCTTGTAATCCGCCACTTGATAATTTAAGTGCAACCCGCTAAAACAGATATGCAGTTGCATCCCGCCACAAGGGGAATCAGCTTGTAACCCGCCACAACAAAAACATGTGTATTCCGCCTCGCAAGAAAGCAATGTGTAAGCCGCCGCAGGAGGAATCGGTGGGTAATTCACCACAGGGAATACAAATTTGCAACCCACCGCAAACATCATCAACTTGTAATCGACGTGCATCCCGCCACACTAGGAATCAATGTGTAATCCGCTGCAGCAGGAATATTTGTAATCAGCCACAAAAAAATCCATGTGTAATCCGCCGCAAGAAGATCCGTGGGCAATCAACAACGGAGAGAACTAAATCCGCCACAAAGGAATAATATAGCAATGTGCCACAACAAGAGCTCGTTTTGTAATCCGACGCAAGCGAACATCCTTGCACAAGCCGCCACACTAAGAATCCTCCTGCAATGCAAGACCGCAACACAAGAAATCAATGTGGCATCCATTCATTAAACGAAACACATTAGAATCCGCAGCAGAAGAATGCTCTTGCAAAGCCGCGCAAAACAACAATTCGCTCCTAAGGCCGTCACATAAAGATCTTTATGTGGTCCCCCACAAAAAAGAATCGATATGTGTGAGGCCGCCACGCAAGCATTTTTTCATAATCTGCAACACGATATAGGATGAGACCACCACAAGAAGAATCAACTTGCAACCCGTAACACAAACAAATCACATTGCATATTTTCCCTAACAAGAACCAGCATGTAATCCGCGAGGAAAGACAAACACGGGGGAGAAAGGAGGAGGACGGACGAATGGGGATAATGGCGTTATGAGAAACTCCGACACGCTGGAAAACATGGTCGGGAAATCAAGCAAAAAAAAGGAAGATGGATGTAAGAGGGAAGATAAAAGTATATCGGTAAGGGAAGAAGGGGAAAGAGGGAATATTATGAAGAAGGTGCGGAAAGCCTTGAAAAAAAGGGACCAGGGGAGGACAATAAGAGAACGCGAACTAGCAACACCTAACGGCTGAAGGTGAATCGCCAAAAGGGGAATTACGCAGCAGAGCAGTAGTGAGAGAACCGCGCGCTGTGCATAGTCCAGGGCAGTATTGCTTCACAAGTCAACGATAGCGGTAGCAATACTTATGGTCGTCGTGGTAGTAGTAGTCGTAGTAGTAGTGGTAGTGGTGGTGGTAGTAGTAGTAGTAGTAGTAGTAGTAGTAGTAGTAGTAGTCGTAGTCGTAGTCGTAGTCGTAGTAGTAGGTAGTAGCAGTAGTAGTGGTAGTAGTGGTAGTAGTGGTAGCAATAGTAGTAGTATTAGTAGTAGTAGTAGCAGTAGCAGTAGCAGTAGTAGTAGTAGTAATAGTAGTAGTAGTAGTAGTCGTAGTAGTAGTAGTAGTAGTAGTAGTAGTAGTAGTGGTAGTAGTAGTAGTAGTAGTAGTAGTAGTCGTAGCCGAAATAGTAAAAGTAGTAGAACAAACCGTAGTAGTAGTAGTAGTCGTAGTAGTGGTAGCAGTAGTA